CGCCGCCTAAACTGAGCCTCAGTACCGTATCAGACGTCTTTAATTTCAATATCGTTGCGTATGAAGCTGTTTTTAACTGTCAGTGATAAGTAGAGCGGTAACAGCTATTATGCTACAGTCGTGATCTAGCTCATCGTTGGTCTGTAGTTAATCACAGAAATAGTCGCTGAACAGTGGAGGTGTCTATTTTACAAGGGCTCTGTCACTTCTCATTCTCCTGAAACAGATAAATGACAATAATTGGGCATCGGAAGAATGCTGAATATGCTTTTTTAAAGTGTCCATCTAAAGCACTAGTCATTACCTCGGTAAAGAGAGGGCTTTTTACTGATAACATTAATAACACTCTTTACTGATAGCAATTAAAGACAGTACAAATGATTGATTCAGTTCATCATAAAAAGTGAAGGATGATCAATATATCGCATGTTGCAACAACCGTTCTTCTTCATTTCTCTTACCACCATATACGGATGAACAGATGCAGTACTTTTATTTACCACTTTCTTTGTTAAAGGTATCAAGCACACCAGCCAAAACGTTTTGTAGAGCCCTCAATGGTAAAAACCTCCGGTACGCTTAAGGTTACTGTTTGTTGCTCGACTTCCAGCACACCAACCAGGAAATCTTCTTCTCATTCAGTAACATAAAAAGTATTTTCCCCAATAATCACAATCCTGACAAAATAAGGCCCACGATACACCGCATTTTCATAGTAATCTCTAGAATTCATCTTCGCCTGTTACCTTTATGAAATTGGTCATGCGTATCAGAGGAATGGCATCGAATCCAAGTTTGGTGTGAATCCTCATTTACAGCGGATTCCATTGAGCAAAGAATTCACTGCAACGTGCTTCGATTCATAGAGCTGAAAGGGGTGATCATGAGCTTGAAAAACCGATTTTGTTGGTCATGCTGCACGATGTACGCTATGCTGTTGTAACACACTTTGACTCACCCGATGTCTAGCTTTGTCAGAGCTACGACTGAGACAAGAGTTTGAAAAGAAAAGAATTTGCTGGTGGCACTGCTCGCCATACTCGCATTCACGTACTAAAATAATAAGCATTTATAAGCTAAGCATGCATACGCTTATGTTCAACTTGAAATTGCGCTTAGGGCGAAATGGTACAGATAATTTAAGCGATAATGAATATCCGGATTGCAGTAAATCCGACCCTGCATTGGCTTCCTCTAAGCTTTGTTCCGATTGACTCCCTCATCTACTCACAGACGCGCAATCTTCATTATTGCTGAAGGTTTTGATCATTCACGAACGTTCTACTATCATAAGGAAGTACAAATACAAACTGTTTCAGTTCAGTTCATTCGGAGATGTTACTTTTCGTATTGAACTAAACCTTTTTTACAAAAAGTTTTGTTTGCAATCCATTTACTACGTTATGGCATATATGCTGGTTTCATGGCGCCGATGGTTTTCTTTTCCTCTGTTACTAACTGATTGATAGTAGCAAATATGAGTTAAACTTAAAACGATTAATCGGTTAGCAGCAGTCATTGCAATAGCATCGGGATCACTGTTTACTTATGCGTATTAACAAACATATTCGTATGTGCAAACATACTAACGAGATAATAATTAAAAATAGAGCAACATTACTGGCAAACAAAAAATTTATCGGCCTTGCTGCATCAATTTCAGAACAGCGGTCACATGCTCAAGCACGATATTCAGTTAAAGACTCAATGACTCAGTCCTCCATGTCCGATACGTTGATCTTCAGACTGGATTGAATAATTTGTTCATACATTGGTGTTCATGCTGAAAACCGAAAGATGCATAAAAACGGTTTATTTATGCACAACGCAAACGAATGAGTTGGTCAGTCGGGTGATTGTCATCTGGGGCAATGGATACGAACTGCATGAGGATTGGACAAGCCCTATCAAGCCCGTGGCCGAACAACTGCTTAACCAGCAACATGGCCCAAAAGCTTACCTTCGGCTCCAGACGTTGCAACAGCTCTGGACAACACAATCAGCTGCAGAAGCCAGTTCTGACCAGCCTGAAGAAGGCTTGCGAGAGACGAGCCGGGACGTCGGCCCTGGTCAATCGGGTGATTGACCAGCTGATTGTTTTGTGTTGTGTATAAATGAACCGTTTTGATACATTTTTCGATCTTCAGGCAAAATGCGATCGGTGTCAACTGGCTTCTGGCTTCTCTCAGATAACGCCAGAGGATGTCACGTAACTGGATATCCTCGAAGTGACAGGCTTCCCTAGAGATTTTGCCACATGCTACACGTTCCATTGCCACTACTACAGTGAAGCAAAAGCCGTTTTCCTCCATCGCAGTTCGGTGTGCCAAGGTGCAAACCTCACCATCCGGCTGAACTAGGGAAGTGGATAAAGCTCTCGAGTCGATAAGCTTAAATAAAGGATATTTCTAAATCCAGGCGATGCCTTGAAGAAATATAAATTGAAGTTTTAGCAGTTAATCGTTTCTAAATTGTACCCATCTGTCCTTCACCAAAGAAATTTATGAGTTAACTTTTTTTCAGTATGTTTAACCTCTTTGTGTACTCACAATATGTCGTCCAAAATTCAGCGTAAGTACCCCCGCCCACCTACATTAAATTTCAGGAAGAACTGTAAACGGAAACAGCATTTAAAGCTTCTGCCTTTGAGTTTCTCCGTGGCTACGGTTTTTTTCTGTCTAGTCGTTTATTATACTACTTTTAAAATAAGCTGTTATTTTCTCTGAAAGTGAAACAACATTATATCAAAATTAAAAGCTAGCATATTGCTGAATGTGAAGACTTACATCATTTATGGAACATTCAACCAATATTCTGATAAAAGATACAGAGGCAATTTACTCACTTCCACAACGTGAGTAACTTACCACTGCAAGCACGTCTGTAATTTAGATGCCGATAAAGAAAGGCCACATCACAAAGGTTGTCAGAGGACTTAAGGAAATTTTATATTTTTATCTCGGAATTAGATACGTATTAATTTCCTACAGAAATTTGTCGCGAAGTAGTTACATTGTGCAGCGCAATTCTCACAAATACGAGGAATCATATGGATGGGAAACAAAACGCTACGGACTATGTATTGGATGGTGAAGAGCATCGGAAACACATGAAACGCGGTTTATTCATACACTTCGCCAACATTTGGTCAATCGCATGCTCAATACCGACGTTTCAGCCAGTATATCACATGCCTTCCTCAATCTAAAGAGGTTGATTCATTGACTTTAGAAGTCTTTCTACCTTTATGTAGCGGTTGGTACGTGTCGAGTTTGAACGCCAATGAGCCCTGAAGGTTTAACATTTGTCGAACAACTAAGTTTGTAACATTTTAACTAGAACACTGTACCGCCTGTAACAGAAAGCAAACTAGGGCAAGTATTATATGCCTCTTGAATTTATTTTGACATATACAAATAATTCATTATTTTCTGATCCAAAAGTCATCTGTTCTTTCAAAGAGCACACTTCGTCATTACTTGAAGGTTAAATTTCGATGAAAGTATTCAATCCTTGTGTTAAAGTCTCCATATCGGTGCCTTTCCCGTGACAAATGTATTTTGAAAACAAAACGACTTTCGTCAGCTCCAGCAGAAGATGGTAGGGTTAATTTTCTACTTACCTATCGAAATCTTTGAGCGTCAGAGTCAGAAGCAGAATGTGTCGTATTTAATCAATTTGCGCTATATATGTAATCGATTTGCTATGCAAATATATGACTACTGGTCAACGAAGAGTTATGGATAATACTGTAACTAAATAAGACTTGAGGCTTTTGATTCTGAGTCCGTAGTGATATAGACAAATGGTTGCATGAATCGTGATTCAGAGCACCAAGTGCAACAGATTGTAAAATCTTTTACTGCCAACGCGTTTCGCTACATAGATAGTAGCATCTTTAGGATTGGACCGAGTATAAATGACTGCTTAAAGCCAATTATGTCCAACAAGCGAACGGTACTATTTAACATTCGGTTCATTCTATACAATCAAGGCGTCGTTGAGCTAACTGAACAAAATGTTAGTCAGCAAAAAGGAGCATAAAATTCTCGTTAAAACAATTGGATCTTTGTTATGTTGACCATAACTTCATAAGTAGCTGACAAGCTGAAGCTGACCGGAAAATTAGCTTGCGTATAAATTTGGCTTTATTGGTTTATAGTCCATTGATTCACTTTTTTATAATGGAAAGATGCTAATTCCTGAGTTATCATCAACCGAATTATCGAAATTCGATGGTTTCAGTCCAAGAAGGCAAATAGTAAGAACGTGATTAATCTCATTCTTTAAACATGGCATATGGGTATGATATGACAAGAGAAAGGCCGACTACGCATAGAAAGAAAGCTGCGCTCAATCCACAAATTTGTAGTTATCATATGCAAATCAACGAAGACAATTAACAGCAAGTGAATGAATTTTACTGCCTCTTCCCTCCCCCACATTTCGTTTTATGTGTAGCTGCAGCAATTAGATCTCAAACTTTGATTATCAGACTGCCAAATATTAACACTGAATGTAACGCTCCATTCATCTTAAAATTTTTTAGCTTTTTCTCTTTCTTTTTGGGGGGAGGGGGGGGTGGGTCACACCATGTGCTGGTTAGTCATGCTGAACAGTTAACCA